CTATGTAATATACAATTAATACAAAATAAAAAGAATGCAGTTGGGGCTTGGTGTGGCACAGTGATTGGCTGAAGTCCCTAATGGGTGTCAATCATCGGTCGGCGTAGCTAGCATCCGGATGGGTGACCACCTGGGTGTTTAGTGACGAATCCTAGCTCCACATATACACGTGTTACTCAAACACAACCGTGGCCCCTAGAAAAAATGCTAATTGTTATAGTTTCCGATGCTTTAGACAAAAAAAAATCCATATTGTTTATATTAATAAAACAAATAGATTTAATGGAATCGCTGAAAATGACGATTATTTTAGTCGGTTATTGGCAGCGGAAGGGGTTAGGTTAGGTTATTAGTTATTAGTGCATCATCCAGATAATGCTCAAAGAATTTCAAAACAAAATTATTTCAATACGTTATTCAGTTGCTTCAAATCTAGACATCTTCCTAGAATTTCTACAAAACATATAAAGCTTAAATAATTAATAAAAATATGTTGCTTTAAGAAAGACGTTTCACCTGAATGTGTGGTCTCCAATTGTTCAAATGCGCCTTATACAAGTATGAAACATATCAAATTTTAGTTAAGCAGTAGTTATCATTCATCTTCGTTGATTCCAAATAATAATAATCACTCTAATATCAAAACTTTCATTGCTAAATGAGATTTGCTGACATTGATGAGCACTTGTAACACGGGGCCAACACATGCTTATAAAATATTAATACTAACTAGTTACTTCTTAAACGTACATCCAATCATTCTTTCAAGTTGAAGCCCATATAAAAGTCTTTATCACTATTCGCGTATATTGTGTGCTTCAAGTTGTTTGAAGTTGTAATAATTAAACTAAAAAAGTTCAACTTAATATTCAAATTCATTGACCGAAAATCATACTCAAAACAATTAGCTCAATAAACAATGATTTTTTTGAAACCACTTACTATATTTCAAAGTTCATAAAATGTGAATAACAAAAAATCAACTTAAATAAGATATAAATTTAAAAAATGTTAAAGGGAGCATGGGCGCTCGCAGGCAAATGCATTTTAAGAATCATAAAATAAAAAATAAAGTTCAACTTGATAAGCGGACACAAAAATATAAAACCAAATAAGGATCTTCTTATTCTAAGGGTCCCACTTAACCCTCTGTTAGTCGCGCACCAAACGGGGGTGATTAAACTAACACCCCCCACACTGCCCAACTCGCGCGACTATGCTGTTAAGTCAGAGGGTTAAATAAGTCATAAAAAGGTTAGTACGCCTAAGGGCTATGGATAGTTGAACCTGTGGTGATGATCGAGTGCATCGCAATGATCTTTTCCTACTAACTACCAAGGTATTCGATATTGTATAAGCATAACAATAAAAGAAAATATTTAAATATTACCAATAGAAATTAGCACCAAATTAACTATCATAATTTGAATGTATAGTTTTAAAGCCAGTCGGCTAGCGTTGTACCAGTACTTATAATTAATAATAATTTAAATACAGTCAACACTAATTAGTGATTTGTCTATCACAAAAAAATTTTAAAAACTGATTTAAAAATTCTAATGTATCAAAAAATATAACAAAATGTTAACTAAGAAATAATGAGGGTTGACGGTATGAGGAGTTATTGTGAGGTTTTCAGTACTTATTTATTCATTAGTTTTGACTTAAAATATGGTTTAGTGTATTAAAATTACATTGTCTTAAAATTCCCAATATGTTTTCTTCTCACTTCTTTCCACATTACCCTTAATCTATTTTTTCCAACACATTTACTAAGAACAAAACAAAAATATAAATATTATTATATTTTAATTTTTTGTATACTTTTTCAAAATGTATGCTAGTTACAATTTGAAAAACAATATTATTTTAATTCAAACATTAAACTATTTAAGTCAAAAATAACTTTAACGTAAAAGAGCCCTTAGACCTCTTTCACTTTAATTTTTTGTATCCACAATAACTTTCATTCAATTAACACATTATTTTATTGTACTAAGGGAAAGTCGATAGAACTCTAATCATATTTTTTCACATTTTTTTTACTGCTATGGTAGACTGCAGTCTTAAATATTTGTTTTTAATCCACATTTTTTCACACATTTTTTTATTTTGTTTCTTAAAATTCATTTGCCTGCGGGCGCCCATGATCAAATTCAAATTTTTTTCAATACTTTAACTCTGGTTCAATTTTTTAAAATAATTTTTTATTTTTATAGCAAGTCAGTGCCTTATAAAAATCCATTGTTACATTATCTAATTATTGTAAATAAAGCGATGAGTTTAGGAATAGAGATATTGTAGACTGCAGTCTTAAATATTTGTTTTTAATCCACATTTTTTTACACATTTTTTTATTTTGTTTCTTAAAAATCATTTGCCTGCGGGCGCCCATGCCCCCTTCCCATTTTTATTTCTAAATTCAAATTCTATCATATTTTTTTATAATTTTTTTTTATTTTGATTCTTAAAACTCATTTGCCTGCGGGCGCCCATGATCAAATTCAAATTTTTTTTCAATACTTTAACTCTAGTTCAATTTTTTAAAATAATTTTTATTTTTATAGCAAGTCAGTGCCTTATAAAAATTCATTGTTGCATTATCTAATTATTGTAAATAAACCTATGAGCTTAGGAATAGTGATATTGTAGATTGCAGTCTTAAATATTTGTTTTTAATGTACATTTTTCATAAATTTTTTTTATTTGATTCATAGATTTCTATAGCCCGCGGGCGCCCGTGCCCCCTTCCCATTTTTATTTCTAAATTCAAATTCTATCAAATTTTTTTATAATTTTTTTATTTTGATTGTTACAATCCATCAATCCATTTGACTGAAGGCGACCATGATCAATTTCAATTTTTTTTCTACATTCTAACTCTTGTTCAATTTTTTAAAAACTGTTTTTAATTTTTGATAACCAGTTAGTGCCTCATAAAAATAAATAAATAGATTAATTAATTGAATAAATCTATTATGTAAAATTAATAAAAAAAATTAATCAAAGAAATTTAATCTAAATAAATTAATCAAAGAAATTTAATTAAATTAAATTCATCAAATAAACTAATCACATTAAATTAATAAAATAAATTAATCAAATTAAATTAATCTAATAAATTAATCAAATTAAACCAGTCAAATTAAATCATTCAAATTAAATCAGTCAAATTAATTAATCAAATTAAAACAGTCAAATTTAATCAGTCAAATTAAAACAGTCAAATTGACTGATTTAAGTCAAATTAATTAATCAAATAAATTTATTTTATTTTATTTATTTATTTTATTTATTTCTTTAATAAATATTTTTTTTAATAATTTTACTTTATGAATTAATTAATTAATTTTTCATAAGGTACTAACTTGTTATCAAAGCTTAAAAAATGTTTTTAAGAAAGTGAACTAGAGTTAAATTATTGAATAGATATGGGAAGGGGGCCATGGGCGCCCGCAGGCAAATGAATTGTAAGAATCAAAATAATTATTAAAAAAGTACCCCTAGTTCAACAAAAATAAAACCACATGTAATTTTATATGCGAAAGAATACATTGGTACAAAAGTCAACTATAGCGATAAGAGATGTCTTTTTTTTAAATTAAACAAAAAGACAAAAAGGTTATATTTTATTATTTTTAAATTTATATTATGCGTTTGTTACAAGATAAATAAAAGTTTTATAATAAATGACGAGAACCATGAACCACGGTTCATAACTTTAATAATTAAAAATTAATAAAGTAAATTTTAAAATGAATAAAATTTGAAGATCTGAAAAACATAATCTATTTATTAGCGATACAAAATAAAAATTGTTATTAATTAATGTGAGCTCTTTTTTGATGACCATGAGCTTATAATTTTCAATAACCCATGTTATGTTCCTACAAATATAGAGTAAAAAGAATTAATAAATACATTAAAAAAAATAAATTATTAATTTATGTTAAAGCTAAGAAACAATTATTCTATAGTAAACTTATATTAAATAGTAGCCCGATATATTCTGTAAAATTCTTCTGTAACTAGTTTATTTCAATCGTGTATTACATAATATAATTTTAAATTATACTATAAACTTTACCTACGTATAAACACCAATGATTGGTGGGATTTTTGGACTCGAAATTATAAATAAGTTAGCGGCTATTTGCAAAGTTTTAGCAGCATATTTCAATTCGTAGCTCAGAAGGGGGTGTAGCGTGATGTTGCTCCCCATCTTTTATTTTTCATACCGTGTGGGTAATTTATTTGCAAATTCTGAAAATCAATTTGTAAATATTTGCAAATTATTTGCAAAATGATAGCATAACTTTTAAAAAAGTTGGTCATGGTGTTTTGGCCAATTTCACGCACATTGGCCTCATAGATTTTTTCATCTTTTGTCCGGTTTTTTACATATTTTTTCCAAGTTCCAATGATTATACATAGTATAAAGTGTTAGACTAAATAACTATACATTTTTTCAAGAAATGTTCGATAATTTAAAAACATACAATTCATGATATTTCAATAAAATAATAAAAGTTAGATATAAAAAACAAGGGGTGCTAAATTTTAACTTGGGGGTGCTAAAAACCCCTTTACACTGCCCTAGTTGCGCCACTGTCTGTATGGGAACTATTCAATTGCTTTCCATTTTTTTGTGTTGAAACACGTAATCATAGAGAAACAACGTCATATTATCAAAGAAATACCATTTTCTTTTTCTTGATGATGCTCCGGACCCAGATGTCAATTTTTTTTGTTCACGCTGCAGCAGTCTTGAAAATGAATTTTGATGCGTGGTCTATTTTGTCTTGCATTCATTAGCTGTAATTAATCAACAAATTGGATACTAATTACAATACAAATTTGTATTTATATTTTGTTTTATTTAATTTTTTTTTAAAACAAATTTTTTTAATGTTTTTAGTTGTTTATGCCTACGGGAGACCGATTTCAACGTCTTCATTACCAATTTCGCCTTGGTGCTACGACAATGGGATTGATAACTAATGAACTATGTACCTACTGCTTTATGGAAACTATTATCACCCATTTATTTGCCAACGCCTAGAGAAGAAGACTGGATTAAAATTTCAAATGAGTTCAATCAAATTTCAAATTTTCCTAATTGCACAGGAGCAATTGATGGTAAGCACATTGCTATTCAATGTCCACCATCATGTGCTGGTTCCGAGTATTTTTATTATAAAGGGTTTCACTCAATTGTGCTTCAAGCAGTGGTTGATGCTCTCCCAAAATTTATAACAATCGATGTCGGGGAGTATGGCCGGTCCAGTGACAGTGGAATATTTAAAGAATCTAATTTTGGTAAAATGTTACTACACAATGAATTAAATTTGCCACCATCAAGAAAAATGCATGATGATATCAATGAAGAATATCCTTTTGTGTTTGTTGGGGATGAAGTATACCCGTCATTACCATGCCTGATGAGACCTTTTCTGCGTATTAACTTAACAAACGAAACACGTATTTTTAACTATCGACAGTCGGACAAGACGAATAGTAGAATGCGCAATCGGAATTATGGTTAAGAAATTTAAAGTGTTGGAAAACAAAATTGTGGTTGGCCCAGAAAAAGCTACCCAAATCGTAAAAGCTATTTATGTATTACATAACTTAATTATGATGAGAGAGCAACATTGTATTGATATTCAAGAATTTATAAATTCTCAAGAACAGAATGAAATAATTGAACAAGATATCAGTAGAATTAGATCTTCTAATAATAGATCTTCCACAGCAGCAATATCACTTCGAAATAAATGTACAAAATATTTTAATTCAAATAAAGGTTCTGTATCCTGGCAAAATATAAATACACTGTATAATAAAATTATTAAATAATAAAGAATTGATCAATTAATAACTATTTTAAGTACTTACTTTATTATTATATTATTATTACTATCATGATTTATGTAGAGTAGAAAATAAAAAAATATAATAAATGAAACAATAACATAATATTATAATAAAAATATAGAGACCTTTTATTCTTAGAATATCCGATATTTCTGTCCATAATTGCTCCTGCATTTTTTGAATTTCCACTGCTCGAAAAACTTTATGTGGAAATCCTAGATTAAAGTAAGTAAAATAATGCTTCAAATAAGTTTTTTAAGTTGCTTAAACATATTTTGAACTATTATATTATAGTTTAAATATTTAGTTTGTACAAATGTTATAGATATTTATATTTTTTTCACAAATTATTACTTAAAAATAAAAACATAGAATAAAATAAATGTTTTCAATGCAAAATTAAGTATTTCAGTACTCGTAGATATAGTGTATAATGTATAATATATAATATATAATATATAATGTATAATTACCTTTATATTGTAGACGATTTAGCATAAATAAATAATATTTGGTATAATTTTGATATAATTATCCAGTGACTGCTTGACAATGACTAATGAAAATAGCGCACGTTCTATTTCAATAAAACAATATTTAGGCATGACTGAAGACAAAAAAGTATTGTTTTGACTACGCTTTATCAGTGTGCGTGTTTTCCATAAAATATAAAGGTTTTATTTTTGATTAGTCATAATAAAGCGACTTTAGTCGCTTTAAAGCAGTTTTTCTTTACCAATGTGCGGTCACCCTTAGAGGATGACTGTTTGCTTTTTCTTTCTGACCCATGCGCACTGAAGTACAAAACGCATTGACATAGACTCTTAATTGAATTTAGTTTTTGAATAATCTTAGAGTAAAATCACCCATTACAAGATCGATAGAGAATAATAATTTTGAGGAAATGATATATAGATTTGTTTAAATATTGTCTCAAAACATTTTAAACATCATTTAAATTTACAAATTTTTTTTTAATTTCATAGGCACCTAAGTTAAATTTTAATTGCGATTTTATCAATCAATATTAGATTTTATTATTTCGTTTTAAGTGTACATAATTTTGAATTTTATATAAAAGATGCAATTAATTTACGACTACATAAACAAAATCTTGAATAGAGAAACTATAATTTAAAAAAAGTACAGAAATAATTTAATAAATAATAATTTGATATTACAATCATTTTTTTAATTCTAATTTGGGGAATTGAGGTGTCATCAAATTATTAAGCCGAATCATGAATGAATACTCTTTCATTTGAATTAATGTAGCGATTCCAGTGATCATTTGTACCAAAATCTGTAAACATACGTACACTTCAAAATAATTGATTAATTGATAATTAATTTAAAGTTAATGCACAGAATAGATTTAATCGGTAGCCAATTGTATATTCATGAAAGTGTGAGAGGGAGGCTGACAGTTAAAAATAAAAATGCTCAGTACTTTTAAAAATCAACGGGAAAAGTAAAATCAAAATATTTGTAGAACTGAAATTTTTTATACTCAAAACCAGTTTTTGACAAAATTGATTTTGTGTTTTCTTTGTGTAATTCAGAAATGAATGTAGGGACTTGAAGAATTGTTAACTACATACTTGTCAAAGGTATATTGTTTTTACAGCTGCAATAAAACATTATATGTCATTGTGACAATATATAGTCACAATTTGTTTACGAGCTTTTTAATTTCAAATATTTATAAGGTTCGTAAAAACCACGAAAAAATGTAGAACCCGTTTCGGTTAGATTTTTTTACTATGTTAACAATATAAAACAAGTACAGGAACATAATACATTAACTTACTGACATGAATAGACTTAGGTTCAAGTTGAAAAATCCATAGGCTGTCAATTCGTTTGGTTCATAAACTGATATTTGATTCATGAATATTTTAACCTAATTTATAACTTAATTAGGTAAAACTATAAAGTATAAATAGTATAATAAACATTAATTAAATACTAAATTATATAATGATTGCTGTTCTAATATTGTACTGCGTTTACTCAATTATAGGGCCATTTTTTCACTGCATTTCAAAGTTCTGATTTCCTAAAGCTGGATTTCAATTAATTTAGAAAAATTAAGTAAGAAATGTAGTACAATGTTCTTCATAATACATCCCAAAATGAAGAGAGAAGTACAATATATTATGTTTGTATGTATTTACAAATTATTACAATATTGTACTGATTTGGATATATCTAGTGATGTAGTAAAATAAATATATATTATACAATTAATTTTGTCATGGGATCATTTTATAGTGAGGGCAATATACGGAACGGAACTGACAATGATACACAGGTAGTTAAAAATCTAATATTTAATGATAGTTAATATATTCTAGTTTTCAGAACTGGATATTATCCACAAACATGTTTTGAGTTTTATAAAGTAATTGTATATTTGTAGGATCACTGATCAGTTACCTGTAATTTTGTTTCAGTAGGCAATTCAGAAATTCTCGCCAATCTCAAGTATGAAATAATCTTTTTTTTCTACAAACATAAAAATTATACCATTTTTACGAAATAAATAACAAACTAAATATAAGTATATTTAACAAATAGAGTTCACCATTATTGAAAAAACGAGAACACTTTACATTTTTAATTTTTTATCAATTTTATAGATTGTCGGAGGAGTGTTTGATGCGGTGCATCCGAATTGCATGCCAAAAAAATAAATATAAATCGGGTCGTCCGAATTACATGCCGTCTCTTGGAGGGGTCTGTCCGAATTGCATTCCATCTCTTGAAGCTATCTGTCCGAATTGCATGCCATCTCTTGAAGGGGTACCTATATCCGAATTGCATGCCTACTCTTAGAGGGGTGTATCAGAATAAATAACTTACTTTTCAGCTGGAGGATCGGGATTTTGTTTCATTGAAATAAAACATATAAATATTGTAGAAGGTGACACTGTGTATAAGAATCATAAAATAAAACTAATTTTTTCCATCGACAACAAAGGTCATTAGTTAAATAAAACTATTGTAGTTTAGGGTAATCAAGTGAGTGTATTTTAAAAAATATTATTTTTAAATTTGGTGGTTTTTTTGACATTTCGGGCACACAATATTACAATTTAAATAAACAAAATAATATATAATAATAATTCATAATAATTCAATATGTCAATATAGAAACATCTTTTTTTGAATAATAAAATATTATAATAGCATTTTTTTAAAAAAATTTGGAAAATCCAAAAAAAGTTCAAGTTGTTTAAGTGCATAGTAAATAAACGTGTGGTGTACGGCATGCAATTCGGACAAACCCCTCCAAGAGATGGCGCGCAATTCGGACAGATCCCTCCAAGAGATGGCATGCAATTCGGACATTTTTTTTTTTTTGCATGCAATTCGGATGCAGCCGTTTGATGTATTTGTTTTACAATGATGTATGTGTTTTTTTAATCAAATATTTTGTCAACAGGCACTACATAATAGAAAACGGTTAATTGGATGTCGCTATGCTCTACAGTAGGTTACAAGTGCGTCACTACAATGGATGGTGTTAAATTTGAATTCAATGATTTAGTATCAATGTATCATTGTATACGAAAAACTATCCTAAACGAAGACCCTATAATATTACTTAGTAAAATTCTAAATTCAAACTTTCATAAATAATTATTGTGGGTTTACTCTCAACTTTTTTTTTAATTTCCACTAACAATAATTTGCGATGAGGAACCTTGAATTACATTTTCAAGTTTATTGAAATATCCAACAATTTTTTATCGACATTAGTAAAAAAAAAAACAAATTAAGATCGACAGTGGAATGCCCATAAATAGTTTAACACGAGTCAATATATTTTAAACATTTTATCGTGTTTTCTACACGGATATAATTTAATATAAATATTCACTGAAAATTTCATGTATCTACCTTTTTTTTTTAGAGTTAGGTACATCAAAAACCAAAATCAATTTTGTCAAAAACCGGATTTCCATAAAAATTCCTATTTTTCATTAATTTGTTGTTTATTTTTCCTGCCGCTTTTGAAAACTATTCTCAACTTTTTACTTTTGACCTCCCTAAAGTACCAACAAGATTTACTTTCCTTGGGAAAATTTCCTACCAAAAAAGATGCTGTTGAATGAAGAAAATCGAAGCATTTTTACTCAGAATCTAAAATACTAAAAACTTTTTTCGTGATTCAAAAACCAATAACCATAGAGACTTGACATTATCAATAATTGTTTAAAATGCATTTCAAAAACATGGTGACATTTTCAGGATTTTTTTGTTTTTTAAGCTATTTTTTAACATTTCAAATTTTCAATTCCAAATTTGTTTGGTTTTTATTAGATTTATAAGTTTTGTTTGTTTGTAAATTGATTAAATTTGGTTCATCAAAAATTGGTCTTACAGAGATTAAACAATTTCGAAAATACATACTAACAATTTTTTATATATAGAAGCATTTAAATTTAAAATTTGTCAAATTCGTAAAAATTTGAAAACTATTTTTGCTGTAAAAATTCATTTAACTTAGAATTTTTACTTCTAAGGTTAGAACATATATTACAAGGTTTCTCATAAGATTTAATTACAATTATCTAAAAAAAAAATGGTAGCTCAAAGCCACATTAGTTTTTATAAGGGTTTGAGCCAAAAACCGCTCAGAATCGTATTTCATGATATATAATGATATAACAATGAATTAAATTTTTACACATCCCTTACAGTGACTTACTCAATGACGATGTCGATGTAAGGTATACGTATATACATACAGTAAATGCAAAATCTACTAGAGTGCTTAACAGCAGGTTGTTACCTACGTGTCCGTTTTTTTAAAAGTTTAAATTTACAAAATAAATTGATTTGAGTATTTTATACATCTATGTATTTTATTTTTTAAATATATTTATAATTTTATCATAGGTATTCTTATAATTACCATTAGTTATTATAGAATGGGTACGATACCTTTTTAATTACCCACGATGTAATGTAGAGAATTGATATAGTAGACACAATGTATTGTATGTAAAATACGAATGATAAAATCCCCAATTTCACACTCGAATTATCAAAAACAATTATAAGAAATATGTCGACTAAAGCCTGGATGAATGTAAATGTAAAATATATTAATATTACTGGACCATAACCCAAACTAAACAACCGAAGCAGCCCAGAAAGTTCAGTATGCAATAATCGTATACATTCCACTAACACAGTTATTTCAGACGTATTCCATCCGCCGGGCAAAGCTACTATTCCAGGCGGTAAGAGTTTCCACAGTCTATTCAAAATACAAAACTTTTGGCCCAAGTTAATGAAATGAAAATATGATGTTGCCATCACTATAAAGATAATTATGTCCGGCGAATGAAATAATAAACTTGCAAAATGAACATTTTCTAAATTTAAAATAATACCATTTTGTATTAAATATAATTGACATCCTATAAAATAAATAGAAAACATGGCTACAAAAGCAATCCAAAAAGTTTTACTCGATGTAGGCAATTCAACAACCAATAATGAATGAAACAATAACAATTTCCGATCAAATTCGATGATACCGTTGATTAATCTGAAACCAAAGTTTAGTATTATTATTATTTGTTTTTTTTTTTATTACTTGAATATACGTTTTAAATTATTATTAATGCGTAATTGAGAGAATAATAATTATTATTATACATTATAATTTATAATCGTTCATACTTTATAATACGTTTCTCCGACATTCTTGCAGGTATGATGATACACCAATATTTAAGTATATTGAAATTTACTATAAGATATTTTTCTCCTATATTGAACACCATATGATAACTACAAATTATATATACAAATATCCGTATCATTTCTAAGTATAAATTATACGTTGAGCTCATGTCCCGATGCATTAATCCAGATTCCGTTTCCATCGTACAACAAAAGTTTAGTAACCCAATAATCTTCCACATAATTATGAAGAATTTGATTGTTCGTTTAAAAGAGGTCGACATATTTTATTAATGAATTTACCAATATAATGTTGTGAACCTAAAAGGAAACGTTGTCTTATTATAAACGAGTATTATGCAAAACTTAAAATTAATAATGTATAGTATACATTGTATACATAATATAAATATGTTTATTTACTTAATGGAACGTGGTTTAATAACTCTTAATGATAAATGTTAGTTATAAATTAATAAAAATTATAATACGTCATAATAATATGTATATTTTATATATTAATAGGTTTTTAAGTTTAACTTAAAAAAATATTTATTAAATAAATGTTAAAAAGTGAATTTAATTAACACACAATTGTAGCGTACACACTATTTTTATTGTACATTATTTTATTTGAAAATTTTAGAATATAGGAAAAACATTTTGAAATTTTGATTGTAATGATTTATACCATACAGTTATAATTATTATTTTAAGTAACAAAAACTATTCAAATTATTAAGAATTTTAGATATTATTAAATACCTAATAATAATATGCACTTACCTATACACCATTATACACACCATCTAGTAAAGGTAGACTTATTGATCATTGACTCTGGGTTGTGTGTTCAATCATACTGTCGTACTGCTGTAACCTACTCAATTATATTTTCGTCTCAAACTCTTAACTCTCATCAAGATAAGTTTCACAATATTGAACAGCCGATGTGTCTTTGCTATTGAAGTTGAAAAATGTCAACCATATATTATTATTTCACTACTTTAATAATTTACATTGTGTGTTGACCAAACAATTTTTGTTTACCCTGTGGTGGTTGGTAAAAAACCATGCACCCGCCCTTTGTAAATACACAAATATACACTGTCCTATATCAATTGCGCCGAATAATGACCTTTTACCTATCCGAAATCTATTGATTGCACCGCATATCAACTTTGACGAACTCGTTTACTTGTTGATACTGCCGACAATCAATCCCCTGAATATTAGTAAATTATTTATTTTATTGAAAATAAAACTAAATGTAAAAAGGTTACGTCTACGTTAATTTGTATTGTATATAAATTAAAAGTTATGACATAGATATCCGTACGCATGATGTATTTGATTTATATTATTTGTTTATATATTTAATTGTAATATGCATGACCAATTAGTTTAATTTGTAATACATTTTATCAAGGCCAGGGGAGGGGGAGGGGTACGGTTCAAATCTTTCCCTTATTATTTTTATTCATTTTTGAATTGCAACAAAATAAGATAATCGTTCAGTGAGAAATCGAATGAATATCTAATGTTGTAACATATTAAACTTCAGACGTTCATACAAATTGAATTTGATTTTTCAGTGAACATTTTTTTTTTAAAAGGTAGATAAACTTATGAGGAATCTCGTATTACACTTTCAAATCTTAGATTCAAAAAGAAAAAAGCGCGCGGGTAAGTGGATGTCGTTCTGCTGTACATTAGGTGTTTAGAAGGTCGCTGTAATGGATAGTATTAAATTTGAATTCAATGATATACTTGTAGTATCATAGTAAACAAAAAAACGATTCTAAGCGGAGACGGTGATCGGTCTAGGATATTTTATATTGTTATTACTATTATTATTAATACGGTAGCCGGTATGTTGAATTAATATTATTCATAATATTATTCTTAAATTATCAGTGATGCTGGGAAAATATTGTGTATACTCATGCAAAATTGGGTGATTTTGGAACCGAATTACAACAAAATGACTAAAATTGTTATTCTCTGAGTTAACACGTAATTTCGTCAAAATTTGAACTTAAAATAACTATAAAAAAAGCTGTGTTCATGCGTATTTATAGATTTTTTTGTTACAGAATAAACTACTTACGCAGAACCTTGTTTTAAATTATATCAAATCTTAGCTATAAACGTTGAACATTCAATACATTTTTCAATTTTCAATTTGAGAAATGTTGACAAAATTTGAACTTAATTTGATTATCAAACAAAATAGTGCCTATGTATTTTTAATATTTTTCAACTGCTACTGTAACAGTATATCAGAAGCTTTGTATTAAATGTACACGCTTTTTGACCCAACCAATAAAATTTTATTGACATTTATAGAAAAAAAAATGAAAAAAAATGAAAATTGAAAATGTCCGCCAACAGCTGCTTAAGACTAGTCAAAATATTTGAAAATTTTATCAAGTATGTGAATTGACGAAATACACTGCTTAATAAATTTCCTGCCTTCTTACTCCCACCTTCCTATCTTCAATTTTATAGGGTTACCGTAGGGTGATTTCTTAATCAAGTCTTTTCATGTATAACTACTCTTTTCACATATACTTATTATGCTATATTGTATAGATTGTATATTATCTCTTAAAAAAAAAAAAAAAAAACTTTAACTTTTTACCTAAGCCAAAAGTGTACGAAAGTATCTCCTACTCACAATTATTTATTAATTGTAAAATTCACACGGCGTCTTGGATAGACTGCGGTGCGCTCAACTAGTTTTTTTTTTGTATTGTTGTGTCGTTGTGGACGACGTCCGTCCCGCAACCCGAGCCGTGCTCAGAATTTGTTAACTTTCATTCGCGCCCACGTGTTCTCGCCCGCCGTCGCTACCGGCCGCATATACGTGGTGTCGTCGTACCTGTTCGTCACGTTCGACGTAGGTGCAAGTGCTGCACACCAGTTCAACGTCCGTTGTCACCGTCTCACCGTCGAACCGGGTCAGTTGTCGCACTCTCACCGTGGTATCATCGATCTTTCTTCGTATCAGGTCGTACACACGATTATCTTGTTTTGTTATTGTTTACATTTATTACTCGCATTACGCGACCCATATGTTTTTTTTTGTATTATCATATATTGAATTATTATAGTAGTTTTTTGCCGATCGAGTTGTGATCGTGCCATGACAAATACTATTACTAACACTAGTACGTAAGATATTTGAATTGCAGAACGCCAACAATAAATGTTGTTCTGTACATTGCCATACCATCAAACTCAATGTTATTAGTTATCTTATATTCATGTCCTTATAGTTATACAGTCCATTATCTCTCTCTCACTCTCTCCTCCTTACAGGGATCTCTACCGGTTTACGAAATAAGTAACTACACGCCCGACGCGTAACGTGTTGACCGCCGTCCGTGCGCGCACGTATCCGTCATCGGCTTTACAGGTGCAGCCGTCAATCGCACAGGTATTTTGTACTGTAAATTGTAAAGCATCATAATATGTTTTTAATTTTAAATAAAAAAACTTTTGTTTACCAAGGATAATAATCCTTAAATATAGTTTCACATCAAAAAGATGCAATATTTTGTTTGGTACATACTTAATATAATCAGAATTCATTTAAAATTATAAAATATTAATATTAATTACTGTACCTTTAAAATGTATTTTAATATATTAATATTTTGAATTTGGTACAACAAAATAACTAAAATCATTACTCTTTGTTTAAATAACCAATTTCGTTAACATTTGAACTTAAATATCTATACAATAATAATTGTGACAGTAAATATTAGATTTTAAGATTTAATAAAAATTTAAGAAGAATTTTGAATTAATTTGTTTTATTTAGTTATGACAATTGTATACATCTTTAGCAACAAAATAATATGCATATTTTCAGCATTTTGACGAATTTAATGTAAAATAACTTCAAACGCATAACAAAAAAGTGCATAAGGATTGTTAATATTTTAAAAGTACAATAAGAATAATTTTTGTCGAATTTTGTACTGGATTTTCAACCTTTTTGATTGACCCTAAAAATTTATTTTACCCTTAGAATAAATGACAACACAGTCCGTCAATCCCGTTCAGTATCGTTTATCGTGTAGAATTGTATTGTTATCATTGTATTCATATTGAACACATCCATCATAATATCCAGATGTCCTACACCCAAAACCTACAATAGAGCAGTGGGGTTCTATACGTTTTTAAGGAAAAACAGTTCTATTTAAATTAACTTGAGTTCCACTCTCATTTAAATTAGAAAAATTATATAATGAAGATGTTTAGTTGAACATCAAGTTACGTATCTAAAAGTTAAAACACGCATGCAGAATTCAGTGTTTATCAAATATTCAACCAAAAACAACTGTTAAAATACGTACTGTAAAGTGTAAATGCCTGACAGCAGGTTTATTATTTACACCAAATGGTTATAAGTAGGCTGTAATAAAGAGAGAGAGAGACGGAGAGATGATAATTAAAAGAGAGAGTGAGTGAAAACGAGCCAACCACATTTTATATTTGTTATTATTACTTAACATATAAGTTTAATACGCAACTTAACATTGAGGATTCTTCATTATAAAACGCTTTACTGATTAAAATTTGAAATATATAATATTAAAATAGTTATAATAATTTATTTAAGGTACAAGATGAAGTTGTTAATTTTTTTTTTTTTTTAAGTGTTTTCTGTGAGACTGAAGGATTTAAACAAATTTACGTTGATAAAAAAAATGTATCCGCAGTAAAAGAATTTTGTTATAATGTTGTCTGGAAGGAAACCATTTTATCAGGAAAAATTATTAAAGATAATGAATTAAAAACTGTGGATTACAATGATCTATGTAACAGTATGTCCACATTCTCTACTAATGGTAATAACTTAAAGAATTTCAATACATTGGATGATATTAAAATTGAAATTATCACGTCCATGTACATACATTTAAAGTGTAAGTATTCTGACTTAATTATTAGTACATTTACTGATTTGTTTGACTGTGTAACTTTATGTTATAATGAAGATCCAACATTAATTAAAAAGAGACGGCCATGCGTAGCAAGTATTATTAAAACTGTCTCTACATTAAAAATTTATATTGTAAAAATGATAGTTAATTTAATGCAATTTAAGAAGATACATCCAAACTTAAGATCTACTGATCACACTTTGTTAAAATCTTTAATCTCCATAAATTTATTTTTAAATCATACAATAACTTATATAACAAATTATGAGCAAGATGAGAAAATCTTAAAAGAAGAAGGTAATGAAAAAAATGATAGATCGGATAAAAACTCCGAAATTAATATAAAAATAGTACTTGCTCAAATGATAAACATGGTTGAACGTTATAGCAGTAAACATTGTTATATTAAGGATGCATATAAATTTGATGAATATTTAAAAAAAAACATTGAAGATTTAGTTTTAAAACAAGATGATAACGTATCTTATGTTCAAGTCAACAAATTTTTAAATAATTTCTTGAAATCCAAATTCCGAAAAACGTATACAGGTGTATACATAAATTATGATGATGATATTACAATTCCAACGGAAGAAATAAATAATATTTATGATTTGAACTATTTGTTGTTTAAAGATATATTCAACATTAAAGAAAAATATTCATTTTTTCCTTCTCTTCAAGTAAAATGGCAAAATACTGATAATTGGGTTCAACTAATAAATGTTTATGATAAAGTTAAAAATACGAATGATATTAAAATAATATTCGATTATCAAATATTACTAATTGAGGTGATTAAATATATTTATTATATACAATTTACTAATATCCATATAGAAAATTATAAGGATCATAATAATGATTATTATTCCAAAAAAGCTAAATTATTACTCATTGAGTTTGATAAATTCATAGATATAATACCAAATAATTATCCAACGCGTGTATATGGTCCGATTATGAGAGTAAGAAATTCAATTTATTATGATGTTCACCTAGTTAAGCCTACTAATGACCA